CCAAGGCGGAGAAGAAGGTGCCGGCGTCCAAGGAGGGCGGGGACAAGAAGGGCAAGAAGAAGGCCAAGAAGAGCGTGGAGACCTACAAGATCTACATCTTCAAGGTGCTGAAGCAGGTGCACCCGGACATCGGCATCTCCTCCAAGGCCATGTCCATCATGAACTCCTTCATCAACGACATCTTCGAGAAGCTGGCCGGCGAGTCCGCCAAGCTGGCGCGCTACAACAAGAAGCCCACCATCACGTCCCGGGAGATCCAGACCTCCGTCCGCCTCGTCCTCCCCGGCGAGCTCGCCAAGCACGCCGTCTCCGAGGGCACCAAGGCCGTCACCAAGTTCACCTCCGCCTGATTCCGCCGTCCACGTGTCTTCTTTGATGTATCCATCGATCGATGTTGTTGCTCTGTAGTAGTTAGCTGCTCGTGCTCTGTCGTGTTGTAACTTGTGCTGGTTGTGTGGGATCACATTTCATGATCCGGAGAAATAGTAACAGTGCTTATTTCAGTTCTTGCCATGATCCTGTGTGGGCTACTTTGGTCTTGGTTCGATTTGTTGTGCGAGCTGGCTTTTTCTATGTAAATCTATGCGCCAACGACCCTGAACTTGCAGACATGTCTCTCTGTTTCCAATCTTAGTTTCAGTTTCAGATCGCCCTGTTTCAGTTAACTGATGAAGTGTCGATATCTTCAGACAAACTCAGTTTCAGCTCCTGGCCTTTTGTCATGCTCCCTGAATGGCCATGATCCCTCAAAACGGATCGTCAGGTTAATGGATCAGGCAAGCTTGTTCTAGCCGAGGAGTGGATGTTTACTTAGAGAAGATGCACATAAACTTTTCTTGTGCTGAGATGCATATTTTGTACCATGTGTATTTTCTTTTGCCACTTTTAGTAATAATGTAATGGCATTGTTCTTGGGAGTACATGGTATGCAAATCGTACAGATTAGTCTGATGGAACAGCCGCGATCGTGTCGTCTCGTCATCAGAAGTGTAAAGAAAGAGAATGGGCGGCGAGCATTGGTGCAAGCTGAGCTTCACTCGATTATTCCCTGATGGTGCCTGAGACGAAGTTAATGGTTTTAGTGCCTTGCTTTGGTCTGGAGTCAACATCTGGTGCCAAATTGTGCTGATGTTCCATGCGAAATTTATGCGTGTTGGAAGGTCATATAATAAGCTTGCGGGAGCAAAATGAATTTGGGACAACACCGGGTTTCCCCACCTGAATATATGTTAATAAAAGAGGCCCGAGAGAACAACTAAATATATTCATGAAGGAGGGAGATCTCAAAGCCGGACACTATAGCATCAGGTGTAGCAGGGGATCAGGAAGGGGGAGTGATGAGAAAGGCAAAATTGACAAATTTGACCTATGAACGAAATCAAATCACAGAATGAACTCCTCGTGAAACTATTTCACACGGCTGACCTTTTTGTGTGACGCCCGACACGAAGGCGCCACACTACACTGTGCAACGCCTCGCAGATAGGCGCTACACGCCTGGCCAGCGTCGTACCCGTGTGATCCAAAAATTACTAAGTCAGTGTGCAGCGCCTGAGAGCTAGGCGCCACACTATACAATGTAGCGCCTAGCTTCTAGGCGTTGCACTAGTGGTTGCTTCATTTTGTAGTGCAACCACTAGTGCAACGCCTGAGAGCTAGGCGCCACACTATTCAGTGCAGCGCCTAGCTCGTAGGCTCTGCACAATGACTTGCAATTTTTAGACAGTCTGGGGTGCAACGCTGGCCAGGCGTGTAGCGCCTATCTATGAGGCATTGCACAATGTAGTGTGGCGCCCTCGTGTCGGGCGTCATATAAAAAGGTTAGCCGCGTGAAATAGTTTCACGGGTAGTTCATTCTGTGATTTGATTTTGTCCACAGGTCAAATTTGTTAAATTTGCCGATGAGAAACAGAACAAGGAGCTAAGGAGATCCAAATGAAGCTCATTAGTTGGGACCAATACCCAAGGCAGAGATTGACAATTTTTTAAGCTCATGAGATTGAAATCCGGCGAGTTTGGTTGATGTTTTTTTTTTCATTTCTTTCATTTGTGCAAACTATTACTCCCTCCGTCCCATAATATAAGAACGTTTTTGACAAGTGTCAAAAACGTTCTTATATTATGGGACGGAGGGAGTAATACATTGCAGCGTATGATGACATTCAGGAGGATCCAAAGCGCAAAGCATAAAAGGGAGCGCAAAGAAACCGCAAAGCATGAGTATTTAACCAAAAACTACCACATTTCATGGAAACGTGTCGAAAAACTACCACTTTACGATTTTGTACGAAAAACTACCACTTTTTTTTAATCCGTGGCAAAAAACTACTAAGTCGCGAAATCGCTCGCTTCGCCCGCACTAAGCACGAATCTGACAGGTTGGGCCCACGAAACAGGTGCCACCGTGGCCAACCGTCACCACCGCGCGTTAACTGCCGTTAACGGCGTGCTAGCCTCGTCCGCGCCGGAGTCAGATTTCGCGCCGGAGTTCACGCCGAGCACATCCAGTTTCGCCGTCCTCACCTGCTCCTCCCTCCTCGTCCACATCCTCTCCCTCCTCTCGTCCCTCTTCCCCCTCGGCCCGTCCGGGTCGGCCGCCCCAGTGTCGAACAGCACACCGCCGCCGCGGGGGGATCTGTTGCTGCCGCTGCCGGTGCTCTGGCGCCTGTCGGTCTTCCTCGGGATACGACCGCCATAGGAGGTGCCGAGGAGGCGGAAGTCGAGGAGGCCCCAGCCGTACTCGTCGGAGACTTCCCAGCCGAAGCGCTCGGCCATCTTCTGGAGGGGCCCGTCACCGTCAACGTCGTCGTAGACTTAGTCAAACTTGGAGTGCCGCGAAGGAAGTGGTGCGCGTGCTCCCACTCGACGCGGTCGACGTAGACGGGGTCGTCGAGCACCTCGCGCGCCAGGCACGCCCAGACCAACGTGTCCCCGTAGTCGAGCTCCGCGACCACCCAACGCAGGTAGGACGGCGACAGCGTGCCCAGCATCTGGCCCTTGTGCTTGCCGAAGTCGATCACGTGGTCCCTCGCGGGCCGCGAGGACGCGCCCGGCGCGCCAGCCCCGAGCGGGCGGAGGAGGGGGATCCTGGCGGGTCTGGGCAGCGTGGCGGTGGAGCGGCGACGGGGAAGGGGGGAGGGAGGCGCCGCTAGGGTTTGGGGTCTCGGTGACGGTGCTGAGAAGGAAAGGCAGGCCCTTGCGGCGGCAAGCGGGAGCATGGCGTGCTGGCGGCGGCCAGAGAGCGGGGAAGGTTCCGACCGCAAACGCCCCCGTTAACGTCCGTTAACCCGCGGCGAGCGATGGTTGGCCACGGTGGCACCTGGGCCCAACCGGTCAGATTCGTGCTTAGCGCGGGCGAAGCGAGCGATTTCGCGACTTGGTAGTTTTTTGCCACGGATTAGAAAAAGATGGTAGTTTTTCGCACAAAATTGTAAAGTGGTAGTTTTTCGATACATTTCCATGAAATGAAATGTGGTAGTTTTTGGTTAAATACTCGCAAAGCATCAAAGGGAGCACAAACCAACCTAATAAACTGAGAGAAGGAAATCATCAGATTTCCACCAACAACATGAACTCTGAACTTGCAGGACGTGGGGTGGTGAGTCTATTTCAGTTAACTGACGAAAGCGTCGGTATCTTCAGACATAAACTCAGTTCGATGGCTTTGATCGCCTGAAATTGGTTTCTTTCCAGCACTGTATTCTGTACAACACGCGGCTTCAGCTAGAAGCCCAAGTTAACAGCAAATGAACACGCCCATAGTACGGTGTGATCGAACGAAGAAATAAGTCTCACACGCGCGCGGCCAGACCACGAGCAGCCCGTCATTCAGTGCTCAGTGGCACACGATGGTCCCGAAGCAGTCGATCCCATCGAACTCCGGCGCGAACCGCGGCTGCAACGTCGGCGGCGACTGCGACTTCCCCTTGTCCGGCTGCTGCTCCGCCTCCGCCGGCAGACCGCCCTGCTTCCCGTCTTGCCCTGCTCTGGCCTGGCCGTCGTCGTCCTGCAGCTTCCTCCCCTGCCGCTGCCAGGAGAACCGAGCGCCGGAGCCGGCGCCGGGGGCGACGTCGGCCGGCGACGCGCTCAGGATGGAGAAGGCCAGCACCTTGTCCATACTCGATTGGAGACGGGGGTGATTCCTGGCTTCCTGCAGCAGCGCTTTCTTGCACGCACGCACGCTCTGTGACTTTGCTTCAATCAATCAACTGGCTTTGCTTGCTTGCCTGCTCTGTTGGTGAAGGGAGAGAGGGGACGCGAACCGGCTTATGTAGGGCGGGGCATGGCGGTCATGGAGGAAGTTTTGGGCATGGCGGTTTCTTGCGCTGGAGGAGTCCAGGATATTCGTGGACGCGGCCGCGAGGGAGAACCAGCGAGCGAGCTCGTGACGCACGCGGTGGCGTGGCGGAGGTTGCAACCGTCTCGCGGTTTCGCCCGTGTCTATATTCTTTCCCTCGTGTGCTGTCTTCCCTACCAGTGAAAATTGACAATTCTGGCCATTTTCCCCCCGGGTAAATCTGGCCTTTTTTGAAAGAGAGAATTCCTTATTTAACATCGATTTTTTTTGTCCAATTTGACACATGAAACCTTTTTCTTCCTCATCTAACACCAACTCTAAAAATTTGTTCCTTTTGTGATACTCCGTCCATTTTGAGTACTAACAGTTTAAATGACACCTGAAAAGACGTTTTTAACCCCGGTGCAACTTGTGACCAAAATTATTCACATTACTAAAGAAACAATAATTTTTTTCAGTTGTTAAATGTAAAATTAGGCAGCTGTAAACATGCACGTCTTGGATTTAAATTATTTCAAAATTTAGTTCAAAAGTTTGGCAGAACATCCGCTGTACTTTACCCACCTGAATATACGTTAGTAAAAGAGGCCTCAAAGAACACCTAAATCTATTCATGAAAGAGGGAGATCTCAAAGCCGGACACTATATGCATCAGGTATAGCAGGGGATCAGGAAGGGGGAGTGATCAGAAACATAACAAGGAACTAGGGAGATCCAAATGAAGTACCAGTTGGGGCCAATACCCATTCAGGAAGATCCAAACCGCAAAGCATAAAAGGGAGCACAAACAAACCGCAAAGCATCAAAGAGAGCACAAACCAACGTAATGAACTTAGAGAAGGAAATCACCAGATTTCCACCAACAACATAATCTGAAACCAAGCTTTACTGAAAAAGTCTTTTTCTTTTCAAACTGATACAATATCAAATGGACTGTGCTAACCACCAGTCGACTGGTGGTTAGCAACAGATCCGGACGACCTTCGATCGCTCATCCCGCTGCGTCGTTCCTCCCGCTTCCCCGATTTTCTTTCTTCTAGATTTTCTTCCCACCGATTTTTATTCTCACCTCGGTTCACAGACTTTTCTCACTTGTCTGGTTTTATATCAACTAGTCTAGATAGCGGAGAAAAAGAAATAAAGTGCTTAAAAGGGGACTTGAACTTTGGTCTCCTAAGTAGCTACTACAGCTACCAACCAACTCACCCGTATTTTTTTATTGTCCACAATACATAAACAGGGGTATTTGAACCCTTTTTCTTTCTATTATATTAGCAAAAAAAAACAGTCTTGATAACTTGGAATAAGCAGCGTGATAACTATGACATGACCATCATGGTAACTTCACATAACACCCTGATAACAAATAACATGACAAAGGTTGACAACTCTATCATTATAATGCTGATAAGCGTGAGAAGCATGCTAAGTTTAGAATGGACAACATGAAAACTTTACACGAAGATTACCAGGATATATTTCAACAACTTTTCCTCTGGTAAAAATTTACTATGGTGTTTGAGTCTACGTTATTAGCTACAAAAAACACCACTCTTTTTGCACACAAGTTATGAATTTTGGTTACCGGGGTATATTTTCAGCAACGAAAAATCGTCTGGTCGAGGTTACCACGGTGTTTGTATGTAAATTATCAGGTGAATGCGTATATTATCATGTTATTTACACAGAAATTATCGGGCGTATGTTTTCAACAATTTTTTCACCTGGTTCAAAGTTATTGTGGAGTTCGTACCTAAGTTATCAGATATATAGTGCTTAAACCATCATGTTATCTACACAAAAATTACCAGAGTATATTTTCAACAACAAAAAACGTCTGGTCAAGGTTACCGGGGTGTTTGTATGTAAGTTATCATATATGGATGTGTATATTATCATGCTATTTACATAAAAATTATTGGGTGTATGTTTTCAATAAATTTTCACCTGGTTCAAAGTTACCTTGGTATTTGTACCTGTTATCAGGTCTACAATGCTTAAATAATCATGTTATTTACACAAAAGTTATCGGGATGGTTTCAATAACAAAAAGAAAACGGCTGGTAAGGTTAGCACGGTGTTTGTATTTAAGTTATCATGTGTGGATGCATATATTATCATGATATTTTCACATAAGTTATCGGGTGTATGTTTTCAATAATTTTTACCTGGTCAAAGTTATCACGGTGTTTGTACCTAGGTTATCAGGTCTACGGTGCTTGAATGATCATGTTATTCACACAGAATTTATCGGGGGGGGGTATGTTTTAACAACAAAAAATCATTTGGTAGAGGTTACCATGGTGTTTGCATTTGAATTATGAGATTTGGATGTGTATATTATCATGATATTTACACATAAGTTATCGGGTATATGTTTTTAATATTTTTTTCATGTAGTCACAGTTACCGCGGTGCTTATACCTAAGTTATCAGGTATATGGTGCTTAAATAATCATACTATTTACAAAAAATTACCACATTTTAGTAAAAAAAATTTGAGTCAAATTTCGTGTAGATATGAAAAGCACACTGCCTTTTAGTTCTTCAGGAAAAAGAGACATCAGTGAGATGGTTGCTTAGTTAAATTAACTACTACATCATGCACGGTTCGAATCACTTGGTTGGCAAAAAGCTTGTTTGAATTTGATTCTACTGTTCGTTTGGCACCTAGGAGCAGAAATTCCATCTTAAAAAACTGTCTTTCTTATTATTTATGTAGAAGCTGGGCTAGCTCAGTTGGTAGAAGGACCATGACTTATCTTTGATGGCTTGGGTTCAAATCCTAGGATTGCATTTTATTTTTTTTCTTCTTCTTTGAAAGAGAACGTTTGTGCGAGAGAAAAACGGGACGGGGAAGAGAACTGCGAGAGAAAAACGGGATCGAGAGAAAATATCGGCGAGAGAAAGACGCGAGGATAAGAAAAAACGGGCAGTTCGGTCGCGAACTATCAGGTACCGTTCGATCTAGAATAAAAGGAATCCATGTCGTGCGGATCTGTTGTAAATTTCCTGCCGGCAGGAAATTAGCTTTACCGTTTTGTAAATTTGATATCGGTAAAGCTAAGTATGCCCATCTACAGGATGCTGTGGATGAGGTCTATATAAAGATCACTTATATATACTTGTGTCCCTAAAAAAAACTTATATATACTCATCCCCCTAAAAAAACTTATATATACTCGTATGCTATTCAGCGACTTATGTCGATGTAGTGTGGGACCCTAATTATGGGGACAAATTGTCGCTCAAATGAGACATGGAGTATGTGAGCTCGAGCTTACTAGAGCTCAGATGAACAGTACATTCTGAAAAATAGTAAAAAGTTCTGAATATTTTTGGCAAGAAACATTGATATTTTTTACACATGCAAGCAAAAATTTGCAATGAAATCACAATGATAGAGGAGTGGGCAAAAAGGAAAATCAATGCTCCAAAAAGGGTATTTTTTGAAGCATTTTAGGGCATCGATTTTTTTACACCTCCAGAAATGTGATTTCATTGCGAAATTTTGCAAACATCAATATTTATTGCCAAAAAATATGGATTTTTTAAAAAATTCAGAATTTACTGATCACCCGAGCTCCAGGGAGCTCGAGCTCGCAATAGCACATTGGGCGCAAATGTGATCTTTGGTGGGTCAGCCCAAGTGTAACCCATGCTTATTTTTCCCGATTTGGGTCTGGTTTTGCCGGTTGTAGGAAGTTTCTTATTCGATTTTGCATTTTTGTTTCTTTTCTATTGTTTATCTACCATTTTTATTTATTTATTCTACTTTCTTTCCTGTCCATTTTTTCTTCAAAAATTGAATAACGTTCATGTTAAAGAGTTCAAATCTTGAAAAACTGCTTTTTTTTTAAAGAAATTAAGAATTCTTTCCATGTTTTTTAGACAAAGAAATTTCTCCATGTGGGCATCACT